AAAGAGAGTTTCTATTTTTGAACACACGTGTCCTTTATTTTTTACATCAGGAAGGCGGGTTAGGGAGGGGTAAGTGGAAGGAGGTGAGGGAGGAATGAGGTACAAGCCCCCAGTGGGGAGGACTGGGGTGACTCTGCGGGCTCCTCGGGGTGGAAGCTCTCCTGCAGGGCCTCCTGGATCCTGACAGCCCCCCGATTGACCCCCACAGATGGCAGCCTATGGCAAGTGCAGCCGGGCTGATGGCCGAGTGCTGTGATGTGCTAAGTGTGGGCACTCAGGGCACTCCAAGACAGGACTGTTTTGCTGTCCCTCATCGAGGTAGAGAAGCAAGCGGAACCCTGAGAACTGTCTGTCCGGGGTGGGGTTGGGTCCCTTTAAGCACAGCCCTCGGCTAGCCTGAGGCAGCAACTCCACGCTCTAAGTCCTAACCTGATGCCCTGCCGGCACCTGTTCCGGCCAGCCTTAACTTTGGTTCAGGGTCCACTCAATGTGGACATGCTATTTCGAATTAGCAAAACGCTAATTCGAATTAGTTTTTAGGTCTAGATTCACTAGTTCAAATTAGTTTAGTTTGAATTAACTAATTCGAATTAAGTTAGTTCGAATTAGTGCTGTAGTGTAGACATACCCCCAGAGACTACAATTTGTTTTTCTCTTCTCTTGTTTCTCAAGCTCTCTTGTGGTAAAAGAACTTGGGGTACCCCTGGGGGAGAATTCAAGTGTTCCCCTGTTTTTAGGAATAGATCTTTGGATAGTGGCAGCTACCATTCAAAGTCAGTGAATCTGTGACTCTGGGGAGTTTTTGTAAGCAGAGCCCGTAGAGGCAAGGTGTTTTTCTAGATATCTTAAGTGCCCCCCCCCACCTTTTGCACTCCGAGTGCCAGAGTGGGGATCAGCCCTAACATGGTAGCAGAGCAATGGGATCATTCTGAACCAGGAACACAGACCTCAGGATTTTAAAAGGACACATTTTTTATCTCGTTTTTTGCTGTTTGGACATGTTGGGAATTTTTTTCTCTCTCTTTTGCTGCCTTGGGCGGGCGGGGATGCGGGGGGAGGGGGAATGGCACACACAAAGTTAAATCTGCACAGCCAGAGAGTTCAAATCAAAACACAAAATAAGGAAAAATACCCTGATCATGACTAGATTCACCTTTTCCCATTATTTACTCACAATCCCTTTTTGGTTCAGTCCACTTCCATGCCTTGAATTCCTTGGAGGCGTGGTAGTCCTGCCAAGGTTTAAATCATTCTGTGTCTCTTTAACTCTCCTACACAAAGAAAGCAGGCAAGGTATCTCATACAATTTAAATTTCAGCACCATGTGCCTATTGGTTCTTCTGGCTCCCTGCTACCAGAGTTAATCCCCTTAGTCACTGGGTGCTGGCCAGTACTATTCCTATCCATCACAGAAGTCCAAATACTTTCTTCCTGGGTTCAAGAAGTAAGGGTTTTTTTTTGTTTCATTTGGCAGTGTATCTCTCAAGGCCAGAAAATCTGACCTTGGGGAGATTTTAAGTCAAAGCCTATAGAGGCAAATCATTTTTAAGGTATCTTCTGCACTAGGAATGCCAAAGTGGGGAACAACCTTGACAGATGGAACATGTTTACATTTTACAAAAGCTGAACATTGTTAGGAAGCTTAAAAGACTTTGAACCTGATAAACAGATATCACTACCATCATCAGCTCTTGAACTGCAGGGCCCATCCAAAATGAATAAAGCCAAGTAGTGAGTAGTCAGTTACGTTACCAAGCATTCCAGAAGAAGGTGGATTGGGCTGAATGTCCTCCAGTGAGTTCTCCTGCAGTATATCCCAGAGCTCCCACTGCATTTTTGGATTCAGGATGTAAAAGGGCTGTTCACGATGTCTAGTACGATATTCCTTGTAGTTTGCAAAGAAATTGTAGTCTGGCCTTCTGTACCACTAAAATAGAGTTAATAGGTCAGATTCTTTCCCCCTCCCTGCAAGGACAAGATCTCTCAAAAAACAGTTAACATAAGGAATCCAGTATTGCTTTACATTGCTATAGGATCCAGGAACTTACTTTTCAGGTTAACCACCTGCCCTTCAATATTCCATCTGAAGTCTAACTCAAACTTCAGAACAGGGAAATCCGCGGGGGATTTAGATATCCCCCGCGGGATTTAAATAAAGATGTCCGCCGCTTTTTTCCCGCTTGTAGATAAGCCGGAAAAGAGCGTCTAGACTGGGCCGATCCTCTGGAATAAAGCCCTATTCCGGAGGATCTCTTATTCCTACTTTGAAGTAGGAATAAGAGATCCTCCGGAATAGGGCTTTATTCCGGAGGACCGGGCCAGTCTAGACGCTCTTTTCCAGCTTATCTAGAAGCCGGAAAAAAGCGGCGGACATCTTTATTTAAATCCCGCGGGGGATATCTAAATCACCCGTGGATTTCCCTTTCTGAAGTTTAAAATTAGCATAGGATCTCTTATTCCTACTTTGAAGTAGGAATAAGAGATCCTCCGGAATAGGGCTTTATTCCGGAGGACCGGGCCAGTCTAGACGCTCTTTTCCAGCTTATCTAGAAGCCGGAAAAAAGCGGCGGACATCTTTATTTAAATCCCGCGGGGGATATCTAAATCACCCGTGGATTTCCCTTTCTGAAGTTTAAAATTAGCATGCCCCTTTCGGAAAAGGGGCCAGTGTAGACATAGCCAAAGGGTAAGAGGCTGCTGGAAGAGATATCATGCCCATGGCACCCGCAATGGAACACAAAGTCTGCAACAATACCCACCATGTAATTTTAAAGAGGCGTTGAAAGACACTTCTTTACAAGTGGAATGTGTATCACACACCAGGTTGCAGTGCAATTCACAGAACAATGGAGGCAAATGGCATTATCCCTTTCTTTCAGGTACCATCTTATCTTTTAGCAGTCTGTTATGGAGGCTCATATTTCCTCAAACTCTGGGACCATCTATAGGAGAGGAGGCTTTGGTAGGCATAAGTACCAACCTACTACTTGTTTCTTTGGAGTGTTGGACTAAACAAAGACTTGGACATTCTGATGACATTTGATAAGTAATGACTCTGAGCTAGAAAGTCAGGGTGTGACTATTTCAAAATTAGTGTTATTCCATGAGAAAGGTGGGAGTACAGATTTTGAAATAAGCAGCCCCTTATTTTGAAATAATGGTCTTGGTAGTATGGATGTTCCACTTATAAATATGAACTATGTGGATTTATTTCAAAATAAAGTGCTAGTGTAGATCAGAGCTAAGTTACTGAAGCTGCAAGAATGTTAAAAATTGCACTTTTCACTGAGGTTTTATTTTCCCTCTTATATTGCTCTCAACTTTGACAATAAACTTGTCAGTTTCTTTTGTTTACAGTTAATTTCCAAATGACTGCACTTAGATTCTAATGCACTAGCACAGCGCTGCAAAGTTGAGTTTAGGAGTGCTGCAGAAACTCTTTGTTTATTCTTCTCTGATTCCACTCAAAGTGAAGAATATGTGGAAATGTTTCTATAATCCTTGGCTTTCTGAAAATGATTGTGAATGAGAACCAATCTGGTAGACAGCCTCTTAGCTCATCTCTCACATCAGGTCACATTGAAGAGGTAGGCATTTGCTCACTTATCTCTTCCTGGTTAGGAGATCACTTGAGGGTTTAGGCAAGGAAATGGATGTCCAGAAACCTAGAGTGGTATGCCAGTGTACATGCTTAGAGGCAGAAGTGTACTCTGGAAAGAATTTTTACATTGACAATGTAGGCATTGAGTTTAAGCTCCTATAGTGTTCAGCAGAAGTTTTGTGGATGGCACCAGAGACTAAAAATGGGATTTAGGATCATGACTTCAGTGACATGTATATGGGAAAGTCAGTGGATGTGATATACCTTGACTTTAGCAAAGCTTTTGATACGGTCTCCAACAATATTCTTGTCAGCAAGTTAAGGAAGCATGGATTGGATAAATGGACTGTAAGATGGATAGAAAGCTGGCTAGACTGTCGAGCCCAAGAGGCAGTGATTAACAGCTTGATGTCAGGTTGGCGGTCGGTTTTTAGCGGAATGCCCCAAGGATCAGTTCTAGTGCCAGTTTTGTTCAGTGTCTTTATTAATGACCTGGATGAGGGGATAGATTGCACCCTCAGCAAGTTTGCAGATGACACTAAGCTATGGGGAGTGGTAGATATACTGGAGGGCAGGGATAGGGTCCATAGTGACCTAGACAGATAAGAGGACTGGGCCAAAAGAAATCTGATGAGGTTCAACAAGGACAAGTGTAGAGTTCTGCACTTGGGATGGAAGAATGCCAAGCATTGTTACAGGCTGGGGACCAACTGGCTAAGTAGCAGTTCTGCAGAAAAGGACCTGGGGATTACAGTGGATGAGAAGTTGGATATTAGTCAACAGTGTAGCCAAGAAGGTTAATGGCATATTAGGGTGCATTAGGAGGAGCATTGCCAACAGATGCAGAGAAGTGATTATTTCCCTTTATTTGGCTCTGGTGAGACCACATCTGGAGTATTGTGTCCAGTTCTGGGCCTCCCATTATAGAAAGGATGTGGACACATTGGAGAGAGTCCAGTGGAGGGCAACCAAAATGATTAGGGGGCTGGAGCATGACCTATGAGGAGAGGCTGAGGGATTTGGGTTTGTTTAGTTTACAGGAGAGAAGAGTGAGGGGGGATTTGATAGAAGCATTCAACTTCCTGAAAGGTGGTTCCAAAGAATACGGAGAGAGGCTGTTCTCAGTAGTGATGGATGGCAGAACAAGGAGCAATGGTCTCAAGTTACAGTGGGGGAGGTCTAGGTTGGATATTAGGAAAAACTATTTCATTTAGGCTGTGTCTAGACTGACCAGTTTTTCCAGAAAATCAGCCACTTTTCCGGAAAAGCTTGCCAGCTGTCTACACAGGCTGCTTGAATTTCCGCAAATGCACTGACTTCCTACTGTAAGAAATCAGTGCTTTTTGCATAAATACTATGCTGCTCCCGTTCAGGCAAAAGTCCTTTTGTGCAAAACTTTTGCACAAAAGGGCCAGTGTAGACAGCCCAGATTTGTTTTCCGCAAAAAAGCCCCGATCGCGAAAATGGCAATCGGGGCTTTTTTGCGGAAAAGCGCGTCTAGCTTGGCATGGACGCTTTGTTCCAAAAATGCTTTTAACGGAAAACTTTTCCATTAAAAGCATTTCCGGAAAATCATGCAAGTCTAGACGTAGCCTTGGGGTGGTGAAGCACTGGAATGGGTTCTCTAGGGAGATGGTGGAATCTCCATCCCTAGAGGTTTTTAAGTCTTGTTTTGACAAAGCCCTGGCTGGGTTAATTTAGCTAGGACTGGTCCTGCTTTGGGCAGGGGGCTGGATTTGATGACCTACTGAGGTCTCTTCCAGCTCTATGAGTCTATAATTCTATGTTCCAGGTCACACACGGAGC